TAAATCTTGTATTTCTATTTTCATTTTTAGGATTTTGTCTTTCTGTTTTAGAAGCATGCTTGATACTTCAAGAGAGGTGATATCCCTGCAAGAAGATATGTTGTTTACATGCCTTATCTCTTTTTTCTTTCATTTTGAAGCAGACAACTGTGAAGTTACACTTCTTGAGTTTATAGGGATTTTTAGATGTATAGCATGTCTTAGCTTGAGTATCATTTAATGCTCTGGTTATCAGGCTAGTGTAGGTTTAGTCGGTACCCTGAAGTCTTGCTAAGTTATCATTTTCTCAATTAATATCTGGTTGATTTTATTGTTGCTAAGCTCAAATTTAGAAAATATAGTTCTAGACATTTCTGTACTGATTGGGGTCATTCAAATTTCTTCAGGATTTAAGCTAAGATATTTGTGCCATTTGATATAAGCCTTTACTCGTGGTTTTGTGTTTACCTCATAAATGTGAACATTTTGAACTTCTCCATATTTCTTTAAATGTGTCTTTATAAGGTTCTTATTGATTTTTTGATCCACATCTGTTAGACATATATGCCAAACCTCAGTATTTTCTTTGGTTTTGAATTCTTGAAAGACTTTTTTGTCTAAGTTTCTTTCTGTTTTCTGTTTCTTGGGGGTAGTCTGGGATGTTATGTATTGAATCACGAAGTTGTCTTCTTTTTGGTTAACTTCTTCTATACATCTTGTAACGTCTTTTTCTTCTTATACTCAAAAGACTATCCACTTATTTCTGTTAATAAATTCTTTTTTCAACAGGCTTCATTTTTCTTGTGACAGTTTAAGAATATTATCCAAGTATGCTTTGGTTTCGTCTATTGTTTCTCCTGAAATATTGGCTACCATTTCTTCTAATCTATAATTTCTTTTCTTTTTTATAAAATATGGATTTATTGATGATGCTATGTCTCTATTTCTAGTAGTATAAGAGCTATGTTCATTAATACATTGTCATTTGACTGTTTCTTAGAGTTTCTGTAATTCAAGCTCTTCTGTCTCCTATGCACATATCATTATTACTTCATTATCTACTATTAATTCATTATCTACTTGTTCGATAATTTTCATTGGTTGTTATATTGGTTTTGTAAAGTTTACAGGGTTTTGATTATTTCCAAGAACTTGTCTTTGATATAGGGTTGTAAAAGATCTTCTTTTATTTCTTTGCCTTGTACCAGAGATATGTGATATGCTGAGTTAAAATTCTTTCCTTGTGAAAGATTGTTACATCAATTCCTAATATCTTAGCTATAATGTTATCTAAAATCATATATGTTTCTGGTGATTTAGCTATCAATTCATTGGGTTCACTACTTCTTAGTTGTAGTAATTGTTGTGAGGTCCATAGGATGGAGTATTCTTTATATTTTCTTGAAAGGTTGACTAGAGTGTTTACTATATCCTCTTCTCTCTTGTTGACTATTTGTAATATACGTTGTGCTCTATTCATATTTACTGGCTCAGATTTATTGATAAGTCATATAAATGCTTGTTTATATTTATTAATAATCTATTTTTAGATCATGAATAAACCTTTCTGAGCTTGTTGTTGTTTATGTGTTTTGATTAAGTAATACGGAAAAATCTTATTTGTTGTTTTGATGTATTTATTTGTTTATATTGATAATCTTATTCTACTTTGACAATTGCTGTTGTACTTGTGTGAAGTGTCAATCAACTTGTTTGGATAACAAGTTGTACATGTACGTGTGTATTTTGCTTGTCAGTTTTATGTGTATGCTTGTTTTGCTTGTCTGACTTTTACATGTTTGTATTTGTGTAACTAAATTAGGAATAAGTATGTTGTTTATGTGTGTATATACGTTTAGACTGTCTTGTCTTTAGGGAGCTTTGATATCCTTCTGAACCTTTAAGTAATTGGAGTAACTTGATTTATTGAGTGAGCTTAGTTGCTTTTTGGGTTTCTTACAATATCAAGAAAGGTGTTAACCTGCACTGGCCTGGCTGTGAGCTATGTGAGATTGATATTGGCTCTCTTTTTCTGACTATAAATCAGTTTATAGGTCTCTTTTCTTTCTCCTAAAATTTTAAGAAAAAGAAGTAAAAGAAAGTTAGTAAAGTAATGTATACCTCTTTTCTTGATGGTTCTAGGTAACTTTTTGTATTTGTGTTGAAAGTGTTTGGTAGCTTGGTTTAAAGAATATATTATTTTCTTTATATGTTTGAACTGGTTCACTTTTTCCAAAAAAATTATCAAAAAATGAAATTTTTGAAAAAAATGTGGATCAGCGGAAAAAGAAAATATAATTGAGTTATATGATATTTGAGAATATAAATTAAGATAAATAATAATAATTATTATATTATTAGTTTTACTAGACCATTAAACTATATTATTATAAGCAAAACTTAAGTATTCTTCTAAAATAATAGTTATATGTGATAAAATAGGATTATGAAATATTTTAGAGTATTTTATATTAAGTTTGTTAATAGAAAAATTGATTATTAATATTCTAGAAGTGTTCTTGAAAATCTTTACTTTCAGGTGAACAAAATAATTATAGTATATTTATTTAAGATACTGGGATTATCTAGATATTAAGGAAATTATATAATGAAATTTTATAGTTCAATACTATATATAGATAATTATTAGAAATAGTTGATATATATAGTGCTTATTTAATATACACAAAAGAGTATACAGAATAGTTGATATGTTAAAATAATTAGAAGAATATATACAGTATTATATAGTTATTGAGTAAATTAAATTAAAAGGAAGTAAGTTGAATATAATATAAAAATATTAAATAAAAATTATAATTTCAGATGATTAGGAAGTAAAAGGATATTTCAGAAGAATTGGTTTTTAATGAGAGGAAGTTTTTAGTAAAAGTTCTTTGAAGAATATGGAACACTTTTATTTTTCTTTTTACTTTTTATTTTTATATAGTACAATTATATATTTTTAAATATTTATATTTATTTTTATTTTTTTCTTTTGTAATTTCTCAAAATCAATTTCTTAAAAGATAATTGATAACAACAACCTGCTGACAATAATGTGTAAGTTAGAAGAATATATACTCAAAACTTATTATAGAATGAAATATTGTTTATAAGGTTACACTTAGAAACTAAAGCTCTTTTGTAAATTGATAGTTGTTGACAAGTGAATCAGTATGTGGTTTAATTTAGCCATGATGCAATTACCCTATGTATTTCTATTGGTATTCATAAATACACAGTGCTGGCCTGATCACAGGTTTTTAAAAAAAAAATTTAATTATAGTATTTTTTTTTATAAAATCATTTCCTGCGATCCGGACGATCAAAGCTACTTTTGCGCACGTCGAGTGACACAATTCGGTCTCTCGACTATGCCATTGAGGGGTGGATTATTTTTATCAATGTAAACGACAATAAAAATTATGTAATCTTCTATAAGGTCCGCATGTTTTCTCCTTACATTATAAGGACTTACACCGATTCTTGGGTCATTACTTCGACAGAACTTTTCTATTTCCAAATAAATAACTCATACTACGTTATGTTAACTCATTAAAAAATTATTATTGTGTAAAACGAATATGTAATTGAGATTGGTATATTAAGAAATGAACATAAAAATATTAATGAATAGTTTCAAAGTCATATGTATGCTTGAAATTTAAATGAGGACAACATGCAAGTATATTGCCCTCGTTGTAGCGAAATAAATTCAACGGTGGTATCGCGGATTTTTAGGAGGGGAAACATAGGGTATTAGTTGGTTTCACCAACTGTTTTGTCCGAATTTGTGTTCGCTAGCATTTTGAGTATAGCTTTTTTTGTGTTTAATAAACTTGGTATAAGCATTCGTTATAGAATGAGTGTTAATTAAACGTAATATATTAATGGTTAGAGAAATAAAATGATGCAATATATAGTTAATCTCCGATTTCACCGGTCCTAAATTAGTTCACTGAATCAATAAACCCCTGTGAATTCGTGCATCACCTGTATTTAACCATATTGCCTTTAATTGAAACAAATTTTTCTTATATTAGTAATCTAAAAATAAATTGATAATGCACTAATTTGTATTAAACTCAGAGTTGAGTGCTATTCTATTGTCTCTTTTACAAATTGGTAGATATTTTGTGTTCGATCTGTGATAAAAAAAAAAAAAAAATACATAAAAACCCGATTAATGAAGTATCAAACTCTTTTTCATAAACATTTGACTTTTACCTTGGAAAAGGATCTTCGACAAAATATGGAATTAAAATTTATGATAGCACATATATATAATATGAAATCGAAAATACATCCGAACGGGAATATTATCTCTTTAGGACAAAGAGCATTTCGAAGAAATAGGCTATTACTGCTAGTAGTTTTACTAATTCTATTGGCGACTAGGATATGGATTCAAATGATTTCAGGTATCATGGTGGTTTTCTCTTTTTTCTTCAATAATTTTATTATCCATGTATTCGCAAACTCGTATTAACCAAATCCTTTTTGTATATTAACAGAAGAAGATAATGTTAAGTGCATAACATGTGAGTTTGAATACCGTTACGAAAATATCATACCCACTGACAACATTTCAACTTTAAACGAATACGAGGTGGCTAAAACAAGTGTCGATCACAGCAATCATGAGATCGAGTATCGATTACCAGCGGTTCATCCATTAGTAAATCCCGAAAAGAGATATGCATTTACGGTAGTGTCTGGTGCAAGTAAAAACCACTTTTGCCCACTTCAAAGTTGGATTTATACCATGAACAGAGTGCTTGAAGGTTTTGACGCCAGGATAGTAGTTTATGATCTTGGTTTCACGAATAAGCAGCGAAATAAAATTTTAAAACTTACCGAACGTGGATACATAACGGACTTCAGAAGTTTCAATTACTCCACTTATCCACCTTTCTGGAATATTTCGAAAGCGCGTGGTGAATATGGCTGGAAATCCGCAATCATGGCAGAGGTAGCAAGAGACTATCCCGGTATTTTGATATGGTTGGATTCGGGCACTTTAACTGAGCGTGAATATTTCGTGAGGATTCCAGATTTACTTGAGAAAAATAAAGGTTTCATTTCACCTCGCTCTCAAGGACGAATGGAAAGATGGACTCATCCGGGATTATATAAATATTATAGTGATGATCACTCAAAATATGACAAGTATTATAACTGCAATGGTGCTTCGTTGGCTTTTAATACTTATGAAACGGGTGAACTAATTGATGAATGGTACAGGTGTTCATTGGACAAGAATTGCATAGCTCCTCGTGGTAGCAGTAGACGAAACCATCGACAAGACCAGAGCGTGTTAACATATTTAGCAGCGCGCCAAGGGATGTTATGCACGATTTCGTGGCGAAAGTTTTGGATGAAAACACATCAAGATGCAAGTTGTAAATCTATTGTGAAGGTGTTTGAGAGAAGAAATTAATGATAAACTTGTTCAATTATTAAAGACATTAAAACACAAAAAGTTTGTTGGTCGAGGACGTACTGTAATTTAATAGATAATGAACAGTTAGATCACGAAAAAAAAACAAATTAATGCATTTTAATAAAAAAAAAATCCGCAAGTACGTAATTGGATTATTATTGCATCGTTAATTTTGTCAGGTTTCATATTTGATCTGAAAATGCGCCCTATGTGATTCCAATATTTCCATTTTCAATCAAACGGGGTGCGCCGTGCAGCGTCTGTGCAGAGTTTTGGATTCATTACTTTTTCAGACCATTAATTTTTTCTAGTAAATACAGCAGAGTTCTAGTAGCTATTTTCGATCACGTTAATACAATTACGATAACTCCTTACAACATATTCACGTGCCTAATAAAATGATTGGTACATAACGAAATTAGTTAAAAATAATAAATAAGACTAATTAGTAAGATATGAATTTCTGTTTCTCTTATTAGAAAAATTAGTTATTTTGAGTTATATTTTCTAATAATAATTCTTCATTTATTAATGAATTAAAATTATTAATAGGCACTATTAATTTAATATTAAAATTATTAATAGTCTCTATTGATTTATTATTTAAATTATTTTTATTTAAATTAATATTTTATCATTATTAATTTCTTCAATATTAATAATATTATCATCAATTTTATCATTATTTTCATTATTTTTTTTAATTATTTTCTTCAAAAATTAATTGAGAATTAAAGAATTTTAATAATTCTTTAATTGATAATTTATAATATTAAAAACAATAGTTATGATTAAAATCTAATAAATTAATAAAACATAAAAAAAAAATTTATTTTTAAATACTGGTACAATCAATACTTTATTTATAACTTTAGAAATAATAGAAAAAAAGAAATTCCTAGAGCTGTATATTCAGGATATTTTAAAAAATCAAAGTATTACAAATAAGAAAGTTCTTAAAAAGAATATTTCATCTTATAATTAAATCACCTTATAATAAAAAAAAAACTAATCTAAATTTAACTAGTACTAAAAATTTTTTCAAATCTATAAATAAAACTGTTAAATAAAGATTTAAATTTTTATTTATATCAACCATTGACTAATACAAATATTAATAAAATTAATACTTATAGCTATTTTCAAAAGTTTGAATTTATTTATTACATTTTTATTATAAATTTCCACTAGTCGAAATTATGTCATTCGGCTGTCGAATTATTGCCGAATTTGACAAAATTTAATAATAAAAATATTGACAAATTATTTATGATTGCTGCCATTCGGTATTAAAAATATCAGCAAAAAATCAGCAAAAAAATATCAGCATTTTGCGAAAAAAAAATTCGACACAAAATCTGACAATATTGCAACAAAAAAAAATTTTGCGGTAAAAAATTCGGCAAAAAAATTGATACTGCGACAAAAAATTCGGCAAAAAAATTGGTACTGCGGCAAAAAATTTGGCAAAAAAAATTGATACTGCAGCAAAAAATTCGGTAAAAAAATTGATATTGCCACAAAAAATTTGGCAAAAAAATTGATACTGCGGCAAAAAATTCAGCAAAAAAATTACTGCAGTAAAAAATTTGGCAAAAAAATTATTGCGGAAAAAAAATTCGACAAAAAAATTACTGCGGCAGAAAATTCAAATTTCACAAAATTTATTAAAAAATTACAAATTCAATTAATTAAATTATTCATCATTTCCCTTTTCCTCTTCCTTCTCTTTCTCCTTTTCTACTTGCTTTTCTTTTCCCTTTAAAGATCTCGGCTTAACTCTTTTAAAACTAGCCCCAATTGATTTTACCTTGCCGAATGTTTTCCGAGATTTTTCACTTTTTTCTTCTAATCTAACTGCCCCCTAATTTTGCCCATTCGTGCACTTTTCCCAGTTTGTTCCTCGCCCTTCAAATAAATTAATGATTTCTCATATTTGATAATTTTTCATCTTTTGGATTTATCTACCGATTTTTTTCTTTTTTTGTCTCTTTTTCTTGTTCATGTTCCGAAGTTTCTTCTAAACTGTATGTCCAATTTGACAAGCCTTCTGGTGGCGTCACGTCATAGAAATATGAATCGTCACGATATCATTTATGAGTCAGCTGGAACGCTTGAATTGATTTCAAATGTTTGTCCAAATATATCAACAAATCCTTTAACTATAAGTAATTATGATTAATATTGTATTTATTCGGCATATAATATTTTGCCAAAAAATACCTCTTCAGAACGTCAACTGTAATCATATACATTTATTCTTCTTTTAGTGGGGTTTCCCAGATCAGTGTCACTTTCTTCAGGTGAATGTACCTTTGTTTCTTTAACTATATCAGTTAATTCATTTCGATATTTGGCAACTTTCTTTGACCTTCGTTCAATAAGCGACTGTGCGCTTTTAATTCTTTATGTCCTTTTCTTAATTATTTGTTAAAAATTAATACTTGAAGGTAGTATAAATACAGAATATTATTAATCATACTTCGTTTGACTGGCTATTTGCATGTAAGCGACAATTGTCCGCTTCCAGTTTTCCAGTTTCTGCCTTCCGATATCTTGCTCTCTGATGGCGATGTAAAGTACCTAACTATTTGTTTATTTGCTTTCGTGAGGGATTAAAACATGGGAATATGGATTTTATTAATTCAGGTATCAACTTTTGTAATATTTTTTTTTTGCCACAATATTGCCAGATTTTGTGCCGAATTTTTTTTTTGCAGAATGCCGATATTTTTTTGCTGATTTTTTGCCGATATTTTTAATGCCGAGTGGTAGCAATCGTAAATAATTCGTCAATATTTTTATTATTAAATTTTGTCAAATTCGGCAATAATTCAGCAGCCAAATAACATAGTATTTTCAAAATCTTATGATTGTCTTTAAAAAAAAGATATTCAAGATACAATATAAAAAAGATTTTAATTCTCATATTAAAGTTTAGAATAAATAAGTAAGAGATACTATTAAAATAGTTTTAGAATAAAAATATAATAATAATTTTAAATAATCAAAGAAAAATGATAAGTTTTATAACAAACAAAAAGAATAAAAAATTATTTTGAATTGAGTTAAAATTAAAAAGAATAATATTGAATATATAGTATAATAGTTAAAAAAAGTGAAATGAAAAAAAAAATAATATAATATTATTTAAATACTTTCAAAAAAAGAAATATTAATTTCAATATTTAGACATAAAAACTCTTTCCGCTGATCCTAAATTTCCTTAAAAAATTTCCTTTTTTGGTAATTTTCTTGGAAAACCCAGAAGCCAGCCTCAGAAACAAGAGAAAACTCAACAAGCAAAGAAAACACAAAGCTC